GGGGTGCTGCTGCTGCTGGGGGTGGTGGGGGTGCTGCTGGGGGTTGTGGGGGTGCTGCTGCTGCTGCTGGTGCTGGGGGTGCTGTTGCTGGTTTTGCTGCTGTTTTTGTTTTTGGTGCTGTTGCTGCTGCTGCTGCTGCTGCTGTTGCTGCTGCAGTTGCTGCTGCAGTTTTTCTCTGTGTGTAATATCAGTATATTTCCTCATTTCAATTCTCCTGTTCCTCCTCCTGCTGCTCCTGCTGCTGCTGCTGCTCCTCCCCCTCCTGCTGCTGCTGCTGCTCCTCCTTCTGCTGCTGCTGCTGCTGCTGCTGCTGCTGCATGCATGCATGCAGGTGGTGGAGACGTTCACCGAGGCCGTGGCTACAGTGGACCCCGAGAAGGCAGTGGGGCGTATTGGTGTGTTATGGATAGCATTTGGGCGTTTTTATGAGAGTAAAGGAGATATAGAGAATGCAGCAAAAGTATATAATTGGGGTGTACAGGCAGCTTATAAAACAATAGATGATCTATCTTCTGTTTGGTGTGAGGCTATAGAAATGCATCTCAGGCATCAGCTATATACACAGGCTCTTACTCTTGTACGCAAAGCCATCAGCAGCAGCAGCAGCAGCAGCAGCAGCAGCAGCAGCAACAGCAGCAGCAGCAGCAGCAGCAGCAGGGGAACAGGCAGAGATGTTCAGAAAAGATTGTATCGATCTGTTAAACTTTGGGCTCTTGCTGCAGATGTTGTACGTACACCCCATGCATGCATGCATATATATATATATTTATATCTATTTATTTATTTATTTATTTATTTATTTATTTATTTATTTATTTATTTGTTTATATTTGTTTATACAGTGCGGGTTAATATGATACAATATAATACATGTATCCCTTGCTTTTTTATTTTTATTCGTTTTTCTTTCTCTCTCTATATTTATTTGTTTATTTATATTTATTTATATTTATTTATATTTATACTTTTATTTATTTGTATTTTTTTCTTTTTTTATTTATATAGATGTTTGGGTCTATGGATACAGTGCGAGCTAATAATATATCTTTCTTTTTCTTTTTTTTACATTTCTCCCTTTTCTTTATTTATATCTATTTATTTATATTTATATTTATTTATTTATTTATATTTATATTTATTCATTTATTTATTTATTTATTTATTTATTTATTTATTTTATACAGGAGGTGATGTTTGGGTCTATGGATACAGTGCGAGCTTATAATATATCTTTCTCTTTCTTTTTTTATTTCCTTTTCTTTATTTATATTTATTTATATTTATATTTATTTATATTTATATTTATTTATATTTATTTATATTTATTTATTTTTTTTATACAGGAGGAGATGTTTGGTTCTATGGATACAGTGCGAGCTTGTTACGATAAGATGTTTCAACTAAAAGTTATTACACCCCAACTCGTCATCAACTATGCTCATTACCTAGAGGTATTTTATTTATTTTATTTATTTACTTATTTATTTTATTTATTTATTTTATTTATTTATTTGTTTGTTTGTTTGTTTATTTTATTTATTTGTTTGTTTGTTTTATTTGTTTATTTATTTTAGTTATTACACCCCAACTCGTCATCAACTATGCTCATTACCTAGAGGTATTTTATTTATTTATTTATTTATTTTATTTGTTTATTTATTCATTTTATTTGTTTATTTTATTTATTTATTTTATTTATTTATTTATTTATTTATTTGTGTATTTATTTGTTTGTTTGTTTGTTTTGTGCGTTTATTCTGTTTATTTATTTATTTTAGTTATTACACCCCAACTCGTCATGAATTAAGCTCACTACCTAGAGATATTCTTTTTATTTATTTTTGTTTTATTTTATTTATTTATTTATTTTATTTATTTGTTTATTTATTTTATCTATTTGTTTGTTTTATGTGTTTATTTATTCTATTTATTTATTTATTTTATTTGTTACCCTAACTCATCATCAATTATGCTCATTACCTAGAGCTATTCTTTTCACTTATTTATTCAATTTACTTATTTAATTTTTTTTTTTTAAAAAAAAAAAAAAAAAAAAAAAAAAAAAAAAAAAAAAAAAAAAAAAAAAAAAAAAAA